GGGTCTGCGACGACTTGTCTATTGTCATCCTCCTTGTTTGCTTGGTCTTGGTTGGCAGGGGTTCTGATTCCGGGGGTAGACAGAGGTTGCGGCGACTTTATCGGATCTTGTCTGGTCTTCGTTGGGTCCTGGGGGGCTTGGGTTCAGACTTGCACTGCGGGAGCTCGGAGGGGAGCTCTGCACGGACGTGAGTTACCCAACACCTCCACCTAAATGTCACGGTTGAAGAGTTAATAAAACAAAAAATAAATAAGGAAACTAAACGTTTAACGGGGCGATCTTGTGCCCAAAGCAAGAATGAAGATGGTAACAGCAGAGCGTTGCGGGCGTCGAAGTCGGCGAGACAGCAGGATGGAACGCTGAAGCGAAACTCACTGCGGCTCGCCACGCGTAGCCCCTTATTTACATGCGTGGGCTTCTGAAATACTCGGCTTAGAAGGCTCGACGTGTAGAACATTTAGACCTCGAACAAGGGACAGAATTCTCGACTTTACCAGAGCACTAAATTTCAAGAATAAACAAAAGATGCGTTGCTCCCAGGACTCGAACCCTGGCTTTTCGCGTGGGAGGCAGGCACGATATCCGTTAGCCCATGCGTGCGCTGCCTTCTTGGCCAGCTGCGCGCGCGGCATTACAAATAATAATTATAATAAAATTAATATTAATCAATAATATTTCTCTTAATATTTAACGCACGAACGCACGCGTCAAACGGAAGTATTCTTTTAAAGCACTTTTTACTTAATGTAAAGAAAACTGGGCGTGCTCTGTACGTACTTTATGTTGCTAGCGTCAGTGCGTGCGACCCGTACAGAAACCCCGAGAACGATTCGAGGCAATTAGTCACGGGCTGGCGCAATATATAGGGTATTAGCTGACTGTCTTCCTACCCTAATGTGTTCTACAGCGTCTATTTCATTGCAAACGCATATTTATGAAAGCATCAGCTGACTCCAAGAGAGCAATTTGCTGGAGAAGGCATTTCAATAATTTTCGGCATGCTTTCAGAATTGCGCAGAAACTGATTATTATGAACATAGTAAGACGAAATAATATTTTGTATGAAAAACAACACAACACCCTCTAACGAGTTATTAGGGAATTCAATTTGCAAATGAATGCATAAAGGATTCATTCTTAATTTGGAAAGATTAATTAAAAAATGAAAGCTACACCTATCCAGTTACTGCAGGTAAGTTATACGGCGAGGGGGGAATAATATAATGGGTTAATTGTCACAATTAGTTTTATAATAAATAAAATGTGTTGCATAACTTTTTATTGACTGAAAATAAAGATATAATTTCAATTAGGACCTTGCTGAGCGCTAATAAAAGTGACTTATTAGTAAAGTTTAGAAACATTTGGAGTGCGTGTAAAGTTCTGGGGTTTGCTAACGGTAGCACCCGTGCAACAAGGCAAGGCTGGCGATGAGAAAACGTGGATGATATTCTTATTTGCATTTTTAATTCAACCGTATGTTGTTTATCACAACTGGAAGAAAATAATGTACACATTTTAGTGAAATCTTTGACTTTATTATTTCTCCCTGCCGTATAACGCTTCTGCGAAAACCGCACTATAAAGTATCGTTTATGGCCTTTTTTGTTTTGTTCAGACCGATATGCTCGAATTAAAATCAAACACCTTGTACAATGCCGATACGGTAAACTGCTTATTGGTAAATGTCTGAGAAGCCTATTGGCCAGGATATCAAACTATAGGGGGCGCTTTGTTGAGCTTGTTTTCTCCACAGTTCAGTGTTTAATAACAGACCATAACCAATCACTTGAACCTCGTCTAGCACGGTCTGGGGTGAGCGCTCCGCACTGGCCAGTGCTTTGGTCGCACGAGGAGCGGCCTTCGAAATGTCGCGGTTTGTTGTCTGCAGAACCCTGGGATCCTGGGTTCAATCGCCACCCCTGCCCGTTTCAATCTGGATAAACATCGTACCGGCGTGCGGTCGTTTATCACTACTGCGTGGTGCATGTTAAAGACCCCAGGCTAACAGTCGTACTGCACTGGTTAAATTGCTCATCTACAGCGGGTTTAATGTCGCCATGTTCTGGAAGACGAACCTCCTGCAGTATAAACAACTAACGACTGATTTGACCTTTTGACCGGTTTTGTGTTTGTTTTCCCCACAGCTGAAGCGTTCCGCCAAAGACGTGGCTGTTCGATGTCCTTCTAAATAAATGGTACGAAGCGATAGCGAATCTGCTGCAGTCTAGCAGCTTGGCTGGCCTTTCAAGGCCACGTGTTCCAGTGGAGTTGTTTCGGAGGAAAGGGAGAGGGAGTAAAAAACCGGTCGAGTCTAGTTACAGTAAGAAGTCGTACAACATTCGCATTACAAGTTTCCTTCATTTATATTTCTTTTTTGTTTAACTCATGTTTGTTTTTTTGCAAATTGCGTCATTGGTTTTGCTGGCCCCAGGTAGTGGCGCGTATTTTTAAGACGCCGTGGCTATCTCTTTAAGATGGAACACCTCTTCTATAAAAGAAAATTATGTCAACATTAAGTCAAGCCTTTTAAGAATAGGAGTATTAGAAAAATTGCAAACCAATTTTTTAATAACAACAATGCTGGTCAGAGAGTAACGCCTTTTTTATATTTCAGCGATCACCCACACCCAGTTTTTTTATATCTTAATCTACTAATAGTATCAAAACATATAATAATAATATAATAAAAAACTCCAGTTACAAAACTTACATTTTAATGTGCATATACACATTTTTATTATCATGTTTTATTACATTATCCTGTTTGTGCGCTTGCATTTTATTCAGAAAAATTTTTTTTTATGTTCTAAGTACAATGACGAAAACAAAAATAACCTGAACAATTGTTACTTTGGGAATTTTCGGGGGTGTAATTTAACTGTCATGATCTCTCCTCTGAACCATCGCCGTGTAACATGAATTCACAATTATATTCCGAAAGAGGTCACGCACAACTGTGAGAAGCATAGTGTTATTTTCCGTATAGTTTAACATAAATGTTTCTAGAGCAAAATATTTTTTAAATATAAAATATATGACCGAAGTGCTTTGCAATTTGGTTAGATTACAAGTTATTTGGACCAAGTCAAGGAAAATACATTTCTGTTTTCCTCACTTGAATATTATACACGTTTTGTTTCCATGAGAATACAATCACTGCTTCTTACACGCCTTGCTAACTTTTATTCACAGCAATTGAAAGCACCCTTTCCAAGCGGCGACTCACACTACCTCGAGACGGGCTTCACAGGCACTTGTACTGGCTAGATACCTTTCTGTGTCGCGTGCGCATAAATGGAGCAAATAAATACCTGCCACCCTACCCACCCACCTAGGTTTCAAAATAAAATTTAAAAGGGGCGCAGTGCTATATGGCGTAGTTTAATATAATCAGCAACACCGAGGCCTTACTTTTTGTTTGCAAGCTAGAATAATGGCAAAGCATTTTAGAAATTTTGGAACGTGCAAAAACTGGCAATCATGTAAATCATCCAGAATAATATCCATAATCTCTTCTTATTAAAGAAAAACTTGTGGTACGCAACAGGAAAAAAATGTTCCGAGCGGCACTTCGGCCTGCTCAATCACAAAGTCTCAGCACCCCCATAGCAGCACCCTCCAACTATTTCGAGCGAAAACAGTCAGAACAACAAAACCAGGGACAACAACAACACATCGGCTTGATTTTCTTTAAGTACAAAGATTACGTGAAATTAATAACGAGAAACTTCAGCCTCTGATTGCACAGAGATATCAGGATATCGCCCGAATACGTATTTGGATAAATATTCACAAATACTCGAGAAATATTTGATCGCGGCAGGCGAATAAAACACATATTGTATTTCCAAAATAGTATCATTACACATTTTGATTACGATACTGCTCAACCTTGCATCTAACCTATTCCGCCTTTTTGTTTCGTATTGGTGAGAAAAGTGTATTTTTATAGGAAAAATGTTTTCTATACAGTTTAGTGAGACGCGTTCCTATCTGGAAGGGTTGAAGCGGAAATTAATCATTGCTTCAATCACTAATGAGGCGAGAGACTAAGCAGCTGATTTGGAAGGCTTACACGGTTCATAGGCCGACAGGTTGTAGGGTTGTCGGCTTTAACGCACCTAATTGACTATTAAGGTTAAGGGTCTGTTTTCAAAAAATATGTGTTATCCACTAAAAAATGTGAGTTTCGTCAAATTAAGGTTTCTGGTTTTATAAAAATTACTTTAAAATACCTTTTTAAGGTCATGTTTTGCGTTTTGAGAAAGCTTATCAAATTTGTGATCACTTTCGATAAGTTCTGCGGGCGTGGAGAAATCACTTTGCACGACATGGATGAATGCAGGACACTATGCCGCACCCTGTTCGACGTGGTGCTAGATCTTACTATTAAAAACTAAGATCTTGGGACACATGAAATGAATACCCTTGTTATTAGCCAATTCAAGATAATGTAGAGTTAAGAACGGTGACAAGTGTTTATCATCCAAACAGCTTTAATAGTAAGGAGTACAGATGTAATGAAGGAAAGAGACTAACCGTTGTTGCTGTCTTTTTTACTGTTTCCTCCACCTTCCTATTAGCGACGGTTTTTATCAAAGTATTTTTTACTACAAAGTGGAAACCTATTTTTTATTAAGGACTGATTATTAAAACATACAAAATAATCTTGCCTGGTCAAACAAACGATCCTTAAGTTTAAAATATCTGTTCAGGTAGAACAAGTGAAGCCGACTTTCATAATCTGTATTATGTTCTCATGTACACAGAGATTATCCTAGAAATTGAACCAGGAGCAAACAAAGTATAGTCTTCTTTTATAGTCAGCAATGCGATTTTAATAAACTATTGACAGTGCATTACATGCTCCCTTTAACATTTAAAGCCTGAATTCTCGCAGAACTTCACATATTTCGTTTTATGCGTGACCAGAGTAAACATCTTGACAAACGACCTGACAGATGGCGACCTTCAACTTTAGGTGTTCAAGTTACTTTCTATAGATGAATATGGTAGACGTTCGGTGGTGCGTAAGAGCTTTCAACATCGTTGGTCTGATGGGAAATGATTACGGGCTTCTCGTCGATATGTGGCTGAGAGGACTTCGCCACGTGTGTTTGAAGATTCTCCTTCTTCACATTTTCCTTTTTGTCACTTCGGAAAGTGAACAGCATCTTTTCCAAACGTGCTGTTGGAACTTCGCAGGCGACGAACAATATCCAACTTAAAAGAATTGACCATATTGAAACGTTGAAGAACATAGACACCTGCAAAAAAACAGATATGACTCTTGTTACAATCAGAATAAGACTCCCAAGGAAACTACTGATCTTTAATATTCATCAATTGAATAATATGATTAGTAGGAGGAAGGACATTTTAGCAGTAACAAATATTATGAGTTGATGACACACCACAAACAATAAGAAGTTTTGTTTGCTGTTTTTTGCTGTACTATTTAAGTCTTGTTGCTTTTTTGTGTGAACTGGGGCTTCTTTGTCTTGTTTTTTCGGGTAATTTGTACTTGTAATTCTGCAAATCCTGCTTGGAGCACAGTTGCCTTCAGTACAAGAAAACAAAACAAAGAAAACGTATCTTGCATTTTTTTTTAGAATACACACCCTGTACATTATTATTACAACTCACATGAAATATATATGACGCACATTACAATATTTTATACATCAAAGTACTGTCAAACTTCCTTATAATTGACGTGCTGGTAATATTATTAAATCTACCTGAATATAAAGACTGACAAAACGCTTCACGAAAGTATTGCAAAATGTCAATTTATGTGCCGATGTCGGCGAGAACTGAGCTATGTATATGTCTGTATGCATGTTCCCCCTCTATATTAAAAAAGAAATATTGCACATGCTAAGAAGTATATTAATTATAAAATATAAAGGAATATAATTCCAAAATTGTTCTCACGCTTGCTTCTGGGATTTTTAGTATGCCTCGTATGCACATACGTGAACGTTTCAGTAATGTGATATTCGTGTGTTTTGCTTGCAAACATTTGCGTGCGTTAGCAATGTGGCACAATTGATAATTTTATCAGAGAAATATGGTATGGGCGCAGGCGAGCTGGTAAATATTAACCGTGTTGAGTTAACCTGAGACTGAGGTAGAGAAGAAACACTAGAAAGTAGAAGAGACAGAAAATAGACAGGACGACGTCTCAAACTCAGCTAACGTGTTTATTTAGTACATTTCCTCATATAGTCTGAATTTCACGGCCGTCTCCGCATACACAAAAGGACAAAATCCATGCAGTTCAAGCGCCACAGTCCCCATCACGCAAAGTAAGAATGTGGACAATGTTACAACTTCCACGTCTTCCACGTTCGGAAACAGTTCAAGAAGCTTTTTCAAAATGTATACATGGTCATTTTTTTTGTTTTGTTTTTATGTGTGAACTGGGAACCCCTTGATTGTAATTTCCAAAAAACAAAACACACTTTTTTGTTTATTTTTGGCTCTTTTGTTTTGTTTTGTTTTTACGTATGGTGGCCTAAACGCCGTTTCGGTGTGGTTTTCTCTTTGCGGTAGTAGATGGAGGTTGTTTTTTGAACCAGTTGGGGAACTGTGGTTAGAATACAAAGGGAAGAGATCCCTCTGTTCAAAGTTTGAATGATGATGAATGTTGTCTCACCGCGTCAACCTGTAAGGTTGCCAACATTCTTACATTGCGTTATGGAGGCTATGGCGCTTGAACTGTATAGACTTCGTCCTTTTATCTTGGTGGAGATGACCATGAGATCGAAATTATATAAGGGGGTGAACTGAATAAACGAGTTAGCTTAGTTTGAGACGTCGTCCTGTCTATTTTCTGTTCCTTCAACGTTTTGATGTTTCTTCTCTACCCCAGTTTGAGATCCGGACAACTCGTCAAAAGCCAGCTTGTGGACGACCAACTCATCGACGGACCATTCGTCGAATATGTCACCTCGTAATACGACAATTTGTCGGAGGGTAACTTGTCGAAAGTGGCGATTTGTCGAAGGGTGATTCGACGAATAGTGCAAACGACTTATTTTTCGCGTGCTCAGTATTTTGCGATTTACGTCAAAGATTAAGTTTTGGAATGATTCGCAGGTTATAATTCTCGCGACGCGGTGGGATCTCAATGTAGATTCTAATGTGTTTAGGGTTTACCGGAATTGTACGCGGGACCTAGTTTTCGCGGATTGTAGGCAATTTGCGAAGTTCACCAAAATTTTTTCCTCGCAAAAATTAAGACAGTTTACATTGGCGAAGTGACGGTCTGGGGAAAATTTCGTGATTTTTTGTTATCTTTCGACCTAAATATGTATTTGTGTTTGGACTAGGAACAGCGCTCTTGTTAGGTTATAAGACAAAGAAAAGTGACAAAAGTGCGAAGAAACGACAGAAGCTTGAGAGAACTTGAGAAATGTGTTATTTCTGGAACCCCCCTTTGTTTCTTTTCTTTATTACTATTTGTAATGTTGCGCCGCAGACTGTCGCCGCGAAGTGTCTTGAACGGGGGGCAGGTGGGCCGATGTTTTTGTAATGAGCTGCACCACAATGTCGGCGCGAGCGGGTGGGCCGGATACAAAGGCGTTGGAGTTGTTCAGGAGATGGGAGGGTGACGGTGGTCGGTGGTGAGTGGAGGAGGAGGGGGGGAGGGGGGGGGGGTTGACGACGACTTCGCGCTTCCTCTCCCCTCTTTCCGACGCCACTGACCGGGTAGGTTAATATGTGCCCCAGTGATACACGCTTATGGTAACGACCATCCACCGGTGCACCGTAAAAGTGCAGAAAGCGGCAATTTGTTAAATTCGACAGGAACTAGCACACTGGGGGCCAATTACCTTGCGGCCATATTATGGACTACTATAGGGCAGTACTTGCTTCGAAGATCCAGGGCGAAAATTATACAGTTTAGCTTTGAAATAGCAGCGACCAGCTGGCCTCTTCAACGAGTTTTCATTCGACGAGTTGCCCTATGACGAATGAGCCTATTCGACGAATGGGCCGCCGACGAGTTGGCCGTCGACGAGCTAATTTTCAACGAGTTGGCATAGATCACCAACATCACAGGAAAATTCAATATTATAGTTTTATATATTTTAAATTCCTCGAAGAATTACACTGTTTCATATTTCTCCCATGGATCTTCGAGTATTCTCCTGTGCATTTTGATATACATCGAAGTTTTTTTGTTTTTTTTCTTAGACAGTTAGACAGCAAACATTAAAAAAGAACAACATTGAAACTGTAGAAATTATTTTTGCAGAGTAAGGTTATCAACGAAGGCGGGAGTCAGGGTACGGCCATAAAAACAAACAAACACATGTAATGACAGAATAAAAAAATGACTACTTCTGCCTACTTCTAATTGGAATTTTCCTATTCAACATTGGAATCCCACCGTTCATGTAAGCCAGATGAGTCAGATTTAAAGATATATATATATATATATATATATATATATATATATATATATATATATATATATATTGATCATGCAACGATTGTGGCGCATTTCGTTAGTCGCGGCAGTGCGAAAATAAGACTAAGACGGCATGAAATAAAAAGAACCCAAAGGACATAGCACCAAAAACTGGAATAGTGTGACACGCTGCTCCGACTCCTGGGGGTTGTTCATGTGGTTGACCAGCCTGCCAAAGTTGCTAATATTTACTTACTAGTGAAGCTTATGGTTTCTTGTAGGGGTACCACAGCCCGAATGTTGTGTTTGCTAATATTTATGAAATTATTACCAACGTCGATTCATGCGGTACTTTTTTTTAAATTTTACTTCACATTACATTCAATGATATAAAACGTGTTTCTCGTACAAAGACATATATTGAAGTTCGAAAGTGCCGTACATGTTTGGGATCCCCGTCACATGAAGCTCAAAGTTAACCTTCCGGATTTCAACAATCGGACGCTTGTTGCATATTCGTCAACTAGCATCGTATAGCTAGAGTAGCAAAAGCTATCTTAATCCCGCTTCTTCTTCCCTTCTGCAGTAAAAATTTCGCTTCTGAATTATGCTCTGAAACTTTCAATTTCCGTATACCCTGAAGAGCAATATCTTTAGAACTTTAAACGTTAATTAACGTTTCAAATATCATTCTATAAAATTATAAAACCTGAAGTTAGATTAACTTCTATTTAACTTGACAATTATTATTATCATTAATATTGATTCATTCATTCGTTGATTGCTTTTTGTCACGGTATGGGGTACATCTGAATGTACTTTATGAAAAATAAAAGCGAAATTTATCTCACAACGAGTTTAGTTTTGCATGTTTGTATATTACAAGACAAAAACAAACAAAACATGATTGAGAGAAAACGTTAGACACAGACATCGCTAAAAATATGCGAATATTTATCACCGCACCCTTTGAGCCCCATTAGATAAGTGAAATATAAATTTTAGAGCACAATATATATCTTTCGTGGGATATGCCTTTTATAAAAAAAAAGAACGCAGTGTTTCGCTGGTCTACTTACCACGTTGAATTTGGAGTAATAAATGCGCTCCCTGGACGTGTTGTACACAGCAAGAATGAATGGCAGGTGGATCATGTAAATACCCAACGTAAGCCTGCTCAGTGGTACAAAGAACTTGAATGACAAAAATGTCTGCACGAAACCTGGATGATGAAAGAGCAATGTTCAATTAATTACCAACACACGTAAGACTGCAAACGTTCACTAGTGCTATGTCTGAGAGTTGTTTCAAATACTCAATCTCGGTAACTTGGTTTAGAAACAGTCTTTGCAATACATGGTACGAGCTACGGGAATATGGTGAGAGCAAATATTTACTCAATAATGCATCTTACACCGCGAAAATTGAATAGCCATGGCGCCGACAGCTTTTGCGTATTTAGAAAGGCTGTACGGGCGAAGCCTTAGGGTTTTTCATTTGAATTGGGCGGGGAGGCTGTAGCCAGGGACGAGTTATCATTTGAGTACGCACTCGTTCCGACTTTCTCGTTTGGACCTCCTCCATTGGACCATCCTCAACACGTCTTTTCTGTTAGTCCCGCCGAATTCGGTCTGTTTTCGTTGCATTGCATTTCATCCTCCAAGTAAACAAACAAACAAATGGGGCCAATCGATGTGACGGCGCTGGGCTTGGTAACAGCATATCCCAGAGGAAGCAATTTTTTTAGCCCGCCCCTTCCTCCTCCCACCAAAGCAATCCAACGCTAAGAGTGTACCGTGTTCCGCTGTACGCGGGACATGGTAAGTATTTGCAAAACGTTCCTAATGAGACCGGTATCTCGGTGCGCCAGCGGCAGCCTCCTCCCTCGGCGCAGCACGAAACCGCGAAGGCGTAGACATGGCGAAGCGTATTCGTTCTTTCGGACGCCAGGTTTCTACTTTGTTATACTTCGTTCAGCTTAGATCCGAGCGCGGCCGATGTTATGAGCCGAAGGGCCAATTAAATAGTGAAAGAGGCACAACGTCATGGCGTGCGCTCTGCAGTTGATAGGACCATCCGGTAATCGCCGTCTCTCTGTGTATGCTCCTTCACCGGCTTGTCGTATCAAGCGCAGAAAGCACATCATGATGTTGCGCTTTTTGCGCTGTTTGATTGGCCCTTCGTTTCATAACATCGGCAGAGCTCGGACCTAAGCTGAAACTAAGTATAGGGGAGTATCTGGCTCTTTAGGCGCGCTGACTAATGCAGATGAGTCGAGTAGAATGAGTTCGCCCAGTAAAGAACTCCAAGTTTTCCTCATCCCCTCCACCTGGGGCCCTAAACATATCAAACACCAAGTTGGAGTCTGAAGTTCGAAAATCGCACCGATTGGACGCCGGCGACAAAAGCGCGAATTCATCATCACGATAGTGCAATCGGTGCGCTTCGTGAACTTCGGCCCCAAGTTTGCATTTGACGAGTTTAGAGCCCCTGACACACACCATGACACAGCAACGCAAATATGCGCACTAGCAACCAGTGCGCGCAGGAGGCAATAGCAATTAAATTCAAACGGATTCTGCGGTTTAAGTTGGTTCCTCTTTTAAGCCTAGGCTTTTTGAATTATATACAGATTGCTAAAATCCTGATTTGCTCACTTGCAACAAGGCGTGGTCATCGTTATTACCCGTTCGTCACTCGACGATTCGTATCTTATTAATAATAATGGCGGATAGGGGGGGATGGACGCAAACTACAGGGTCATGGGCTGTAATGGCGACAATGCCAAGAGGATTGGGGATGGCCATATACTTAAATTTTAAACCTATCTGTGCCTACAAGACGTTTTCGGAGAGTTGATTACTTACTACACACTAAGACATTTCCGATTCTTTACATTTTCATGGAGAATGCAAGAAACAAGTTACTAAAAACTATAAAAAACCTATGCGATGGTTTGATCTGCTTGGTGCATGTTGAGGTTGAAAAATGTGCCAACTGAAAACTAGAGTCAACGGCTTGGCACTGAACATGACGTGTCATATATTTACATAATGTTCCCAGAGCAAAGGTTATGTTATTGGAAAACAAATAGCACAACAGTCCACATTATTCGCAACTTCAGAGGGGGCGAACCCACCCAAAGGCGAAGCAGTGACTTTTAGAACAGGGAGTGCCTGCGCCTATGGAAATGTGCAGCGAAACCTATCGCGGCCAGGCGGTGAATATGCGAAACCGATAATCAGGAATGAAATGCACGCCAATCGAGTCCCAAATAGAGATTGACTCTACGCTCTCAAGAAAAAAGGGTGTCGAAATGTGTATCATTACACCCTTTGTCCCATATACTACACCCCAAGATTTCGATTCGACGTACAGAGCCCTACAGTCGAACAGACGGCCCGAAATTTTAGGAGGGGCTTGATAGCCGTGTGGTACAACATTTTAAATAGCTAAAGTACGTATCAAAAACCACATAAAGAAAACACCGAGTTTTTACAGTAGGATCAAGAAAACCCCGATTATTTTTCTTGATGTCAGTAAAACGTACATTAGCTATTTTAATAAGTTGTACCACACGGCTATCACGCCCCTCGTAAAACTTGGGGCCGTCTGTTCGACTGTAGGGCGCTGTACGTTGAATTGAATTTTGGGGGTGTATTATATGGGACAAAGGGCGTAAGAATACACCTTTTGACACCATTTTTTCTTGAGAGTGTAGGAGTTCTATGAATAAAAAAAAAGCAGCACCGCTACTTGCTTAGGATTTAAACAAAGCGACTCCAAAAGCTTATAACTTGCTTTGGCCGAGCCGGCTCGACGCACCATACTGTGCAATAATCCAAAAAGGAATATTCACCTCCGCGTTTTGTCGCGCAAGCGAACACAGTCCAAGAGAGTGTGAACGCCCAGAGTATCTTGTCGCAGAATGCCACCGCCATTTTGGGCCAGTCAACTTTGGGTGCGCGGCCCCTGTTCCAGTCGTACTTGATGAACACGCAGACGAGGCAGCAGGCAGCGGCGACGGTCCAGAGTACGCCGGTGACCACCTGAACCGTTATGAAAGGAGAACAAAAAGTCGATGAACAGCAATAAAACGTAAAGTTTATATTTTGGAACGCAATACACTCAATTGTGATGAACGAGAGGCCAGAAAAAGCCATCGTGCTGCTGCTTGGCGAAGCTCCCGAACTTTTCACTAAAATAAAACATCATAAAATGCCAGCACATATAGTTGAAATTTACGACAGAGTGCATCATCTGGTCGCTGTGCCTACCGGGATATGGCGCACTCGTTGTCAACATCGCTAATTTGGTCGTCTGCGAAGCCATCCGTCGTTGATCATGGCAGGTTTGTTGGCCTAATATTTCAGAGAAATGAAGTTACGCCTGGGAATTTCACCAGCGAAACTGCACTCTTTTTTCTTTTCGCGCAATTACCGCGCACAAGAAGGCACTTAATATGCTGTTGCAGAAGGTTTCAAATGCCCTCATGAAAGAAGGTTGCCGCCAAGGCTCTTAGTCGTTCCAACATGCGTTAGCAAGGCCGTCACTCGCCGCAGGCGGGATATATGTATGAAAGAAACTGCAGGAAGTTTCAGGAAATACGGAAAGACGTCCGTTATGATCAGGGTCAGGAAAGAACGTCTGCGGCAACAAAAAGTCTTGTTGAGCTCGTAACGCAACGTCTGAGAACCCAGGCGGCTACATTTGCCGGTGAGAGCATACAAACGCTTGAGTCAAGTCATAGTAATATCCTAAATTTGTGTGGTGATTATTTGAAGAGGGAGCTAAAGTACGTGTCCACATTCTGTGTATATCAAACGTACTTGAAATGAAACCTTGATGGTAACAGTAAATACACAATAAGGGGAGACTTTCCGCCTTTGTGTTTTGTGTCCTCTTCCTTTAAAAAAGGCAATATACTATAAGTATACTCTTTGTATACTTATGCATGTATGAAAACATCTTTCTTCCTTACTTTCAGGAATAAAAAAATATAGAATAAGAATAATTATAGTGTAGTAGAACCAGACTATGACTTCGTTTTCAGTAGACCAAAAGTATATAGTTGTGAGTAAACCAAGGAAAACTAAAAGCACACTTTCGAGAGCTTAACCTGTACTAGGTAGTACAATTTATCTGTACTTAACATACGCCAAAGGTGTGCTTTATGGTTCGACTGCCGGCCACCGGTAAGCAGCGGATCGCTGGCGGTCAGCAAGCAGATTGAGAAGTACACTTTTCATGCCTTTCATGTCTCGCGTTACGGCGGACCGCTGTGCGCTGTGGAATTAGGGAAAGGACTCGTCGTTTTTAGTGTAACAGAACATGGTTTATTCCTAGTGAAAACTTATTTAAAGAGACAATGAAGGCAATTTCTGATATTTTTTTGGCGATTGAACTGGGTTCCCGGTACGTCTCAGGCTACTGTGCCCAAAATTCAGCCGAAACCGGCGCTTGCGTGCAGCGCAAATCAATGAAACAGTCGCGGTAATAATCCTACCGGGATCGACTGGGGCGACGCCGCCAGAGTTACGGGAGAAGCCAGGAGAAGCGGAGCTCACGTGACCGTTGCGGGGCCAAGAAGCGCGACGTCACAAGAGACGCGTCAACGATTGGTCGAAATGAGAAACATGTAGTCGGTCACGTTTTGGTTCGCGATTTTTAGGAAAGCTGTTCTAATTTCTTCTTGAATAACCATGAAAAATATATATCGGACCGGAAATTATTAATAAACCGTAAATAAATCAGCATAATTGTTTTTCTCTTTGCTACGCTGGACGCGAAACGGGCAAAGAGCAACTATGAGCAAAAAAAAAAAAAAAGAACACGCGGGAGGCGTTAGCTTTTGTTTTCAGATGTCGGTGTCGTGTTTACTTTGGGAACACGGCACTCGAAGGATTGTGCAAAATGGTAGTCATGCAAATTTTGTGCGCTTTAGGTGGCTGTTCTAACGGTGGACTGAAGACCAGTATTCGTTGGGGCGACGCTAGTTGTCACGTGTGGGTTGCTGTTCGTGTTCTTTGACGTCGAAAACAAGTGACGTCTGACTTTGGTGAAAACCAAAAATTGTGCTGTTTATTTACTCCTTTCTGGGGAGCGTCCCCCGCGGAGGAACCGATTCCCGGAACGGCTTGGTCGCTGCCGCTTT